GCCGCGAGCATACACGCATGCACGCGTGCGCACGACTGCGCGTTCGACCGGGCTATTTATTTCTCTTTTACGACCGTAGTTTTTCAGCACATCCGCTCACCGTTAATGCCCGGAACCTCTCGTACTTTCACGTATCATATTAAATATTAATGAGATCGTTTTGAGCGCGAATCGTACCACGGGCTGTAGAGGTACGATGCTCCTGCAAAAAGGGAAGAAAAAAAGGAGAGAGAGAGAGAGAGAGAGAGAGAGAGAAATGACATCATGATCGCGATGTATCAAGAGCGATTCAGATTTCAGCGTGAAGATTAGCCTGCGCGATATGCTCGGGAGAAGATATATATTTATTATTTCGGGACAAAGTAATTAATGTTTCGAGTCCGAACAATTTTCTTCGGATCTCTTGTGGAAGCTCGGTGGACTGCCGGGGCTGTATATAAGCCAGGCAGGTCCTTCCCGGCGTGTGGACGCACGAATCTCTCGACGTGTCTCGGATAAATACCGATCGGCGACTCGCGATATGTCCGATTACTTTCAACGATGTGCCGTTTAGATAAGCTCGGGGCTTTTGCTTCCTTCTACGTTCGCCGCCGTGTGCCGCCGAGGAAACCTTCCTTTTTCACCTACTTACCGGAGAGACGATTTCGTTGCGGTAACGTCGAGCGATATAACGATCGCCGGCGTATTATTGCGCGGCGGACGATGTATTATTTAACACGAGCATGAGATTCGGCCTCGCTCGTGCGCAAATCCCGAACAGTTTCGTTCCTGATGCAACTGCCTCATCGGCAGAACGAGACTACCGCGGTCTTCGCGGGCGGATTAATGTATTAATCGCTCCTTCTCCCGGCCAACTTCCGAGCGCCCAACTTTGCGAGCTCGCGATTCTCAACGACGCGTGCGTAGAAGATCTAGCTCGTTTTGATCAGTTTGCGGATCAAGCAGGTTGCATGCGCATCTCAAAAGCGGGATCTACATTTATTGACTTCCGCAAAGAGTGCTTTTTCTTTTTTTTTTTTTTTTTTTTTTTAAATATCTCTTATTCCGCGCGTAATTATTCTTTCAATATTTTTGTCGCGCATAAACGTTCAAGGGTAATTTGAACATTTCCCGCTTAATGCATTATTCCCGCTTTGTTAGCCTTCGAGGCGAATGCACGCTTTTCTGCGACAAAGCGCGCACTTATCTCGGAACTCGAAGCGCGATCCGTTGCGGGTTGTTGATAGCCTCCGGAAAGTGAAACGAGCGACATTCGCGTAATAAATCATTCCGCCGTTCCCCGACGCGGGCCGCCAAGTAGGTGCCGCCGGTGCGGGCGATAAGAACGCGAAGAGTGCAACGGTGTGAACTGCCTCTGGTTCAATGAGGAAAGTGAAACTTCACGGTGTACATGCGCAGGTTCGGATGGCCTCCCGGGACTCGACGAGTCTGCACGTGTCGTCGCGTTCGTGAACTTATACGGTATAATCGGGTGAACGATAACCGGGTGGTCTCTCCGGGCGGCTGGAGAAGCTAATCGGCGACGCGCGAATCATCGGTTCTTCTCCGCGGGGTGAAGCCCCGCACGAAGAGGAAACATTCGGACAGAAGCGATCGACCCAACGAGCCACGGTGACGATCACCGACGAACATCCTCGAATGTAATCACCGTGCGGAGAACGATTCTCACGGGGACTCCCTGGAGAATCCGTCGGAGGAGCTCTCGACACCCTCCAAAGGGAAGAAAGATCTCGCACGTCCGTGGCTCGGGTCATGTCAAGGTCATGAACAGCTCGACTCCCCTTCGCCCGAGGATCGACGTACCTTCAGATCCTCCGCCGAATCCGTCCTCTCGTCGGCCAGATGGAGCTGTCCCGTCGACCTCGCGACAGAGAAGCGTCGCTTCGACCATCGCGCTCGGCGAGTCGACCTTCGACAGCCTCGCGTTGGACGTTTCCTACGCCGGCCTCGACGTGTCCGGCGCCGGCGGTCAGCCGGTCGCGACTGAGCAGCTCCTTGCCGAGCGACGCGTCGGACGCACCGCATCTCTGGGATGATATCGGTGTGGTCGAGTACCTCGACAGGAAGCTCGGTCCGCCCGACGAGAGCACGCCGGAGGAGCGCGTCGAGACGCTGCGCGAGATCCTCGCCGAGACGGATATTCACGAGGGCGACGGCAAGCTCTCGGACTTCCTCTTCCACGTGGCGCGGACCAAGCACGGCAAGGTGTACATAAGAGTGATCCGGACGCTGCTGTTGAACAGAGGTAAAAGCGCCGGTTCGGTAGCGCGACACTTCGGCATCTTTTTTTTCGATCGATTACTTAGGCGATTTCCCCCTTCGGCAAATTTTTGCGCTCTTCGGGGTGACTTGAGACTGGACGATCTCTGGATGGCTCTCCGAGTGTCGGCCGATCTTAATCGGAGTTTTATTGATTGTTTTGAAATAAGAATCAAGTAAACTAACAAGAAACATCCGCGAGGTGTGTGTCTCCGATTTCGATGAAACTTGGCACATTTGTAGAGCAGCCAGAAATAAGAGACCCCATATTTCTTTTTATCGACAATGGGGCTCAGGTTTAACGGGTGAAACTGTCCTATTGCAAATAGGACTAATTGGACTCTATTGCAGATAGGATGAAACTTTTTAAACAAAAATTGTACGGCACAATTTATTCTGCACAATTTTTGTTTAAAAAGTTTTTTTCCTATCTGCATAATTATCGAGATGGCATAAATTCTCCTATCTGCATAAAGTTTTTTTCCTATCTGCATAATTATCGAGATGGCATAAAGGGGATGAAACTTTGAGGGGCAGTTTCACGCTTTAAACCTGAGTCATTGCCAATAAAAAAATATGAGGCTTTTATCTTTGGCTACTATACAAATATGCCAAGTTTCGTCGAAATTGGAGGCACATACACACACACACACACACACACACACTTCGCGGAAGTGTTCCTTGTAAGACCATTGTTGGTCGGTCTCTCAGTAAAGAGCCGTGTATTTTTTTTTATCTGGACTCTTTGATTTTGTATTGTAGCGGGGAATATTTTGTTCTTCGATTTTTCGAGCGAATTGACATATATAATTGACATAAAGCCTTTTAAATCGCTGGGTTTTGACTCGCTGAATGTTTTATGGCGTATCTCTACACTGTGAATGATTTATCGCACATGGCATTCGGAGGGAACACAATCTCTCTTCAATACCAATTTTATAGCTCGCTATTGATACGATTAATTCCTCACGTGGAAGTGCAACTCCACACTCGATTGTCAAACTGCGTTTTAATCGAAAAACATTAAACACTAATAACAAAAATGAAACTGTATAATGTATGCGTATAAACCTCAAAATATTTCATATTAGCCATTAATTACTCTCCGTGTCGAACTTGGGCATAATTATTTTTCGCTAAATTGGCAAAAGTCCTCGAGGGGAATTTCTAAAAGGTCGCGCCGGCGACCCGAAAGGTCGCCGGCGATCTTCTACTATTTCCGATCGCGAGTTGCTTGTTTCGGCCGCACGACGCGATTCACGCGACGCGGACGTTCGCGCAGTTTCGCTGATCTCGCGTGCCCGCGATGTCCTCAAGTCCACCCAGTATGTCGGAGATAATTACGCAAACCGTGGCGAGAAAGGAAGAGGACGAGGGCGATCGTACCGTCAGCCTGGAACTTCTCGGCGATCCTTGCGGCAACGTGCAGATCCCTTTCGATCCCGAGAGCCACGGGCTTTCCGCGGATTTCCAGCTGACGAAATTCGCCAACCCGCTGAGAAGGAACTTGCAATTGGAACGACAGGAGAGGCAATCGTTGCTGGACCTCTTCGACGGAAAAGAGGTGATTCTCACGTATAATGTGACACAATCGAGAAAGACGCGACTGAATTCTTGCGACCGGTTTGCTGTCCGCATTGCGGTCATTCATCATGTCTGGCTTTGCCAATTCATATCTGCGTCATCCATAAAATTGTCCTCCAGTTATACGCGCGGTATTTCACTGCCGGTTCTGGTTATCGTGTAAAAATTCCCTCTGATCTCGCAAACATACAAAATTCGAAGCGCTCGGATACTAAAGTACTCCTGAAAGAAAGAATCACACAACTGTCCGTAACAAACGTCGTCGAAGCATCACGTCGGCAAAGGCACAGAATTATTCCCCATTCTCTACGAAAGCCCCCTACAAACAGGACGAAAAGGCCGGTCCTTATCCGCCGGACTGCGGCCGGAAGGACACCCGCGTGACCAGGCTGGATAACGGCGGGATGATGCTGGTGGAGACGTTCAACGTAATCCCTCCGCTCGTCGACGACCCTTACGCGATGGGCAAGATCGCTTACGCCGTCGTCCACGAAGGCATCTACTCCTTGGGTCTCGTCCAATGCACCAGCAGCAGGCTGATCCTGGGCGTTTCCGACGCTATGAAGGACGACGAGAGGAAGACGGTGGTGCCGATGGCGATACGCGGCTACATGGCCGCGGCGAAGGCCGGCGAAACGACCGTGAAGGACTGCCAGGTCTTCCTGAACCCGTGCTGCTTGTTCGGCGGCACCGCCACGGTGCTATGCTATCCGCATGAAATAGTCGAGCCGGTGGACGCGACCGCTGGTGACGTGATAGTGCTGACGAAACCGTTGGGGACGATGGTGGCGTTGGCCGTGTCGGAGTGGATGAAGCAACCCGAGAAGAAGAGCAGACTGCTGCTGACCATCACGGAGGAGAGCGTCGAGAGAGCTCGCTCTCGAGCCGTCGACTGCATGATGAGGACCAATCGGCTCGCCGCGGCGCTCATGAGAAAGGTTGGCTTCTCCGTCAGATCTGATCGAATATGGGTTTCAGTAGACCTGCGAGAACGAGGGGATTTTGGTCAGGTTAATTTCTATGATGTGTGCGATTGTCTCTCCTCCGACCTTGCCTTCGAGAATTGTCGAGGAAAGTCTATGCGCGAATACCCGTTAGTGACTCGCTTTGCCAGTGAGAATTAGTATTTCGTCATCGAGTAACCTCTGACTAGTAGACACGAGTGATCTCAGCGGGCGCTATGCGATTAGTATCTTATCTTCGATTTCGACTACGGTCTGCGAAATATTATCCTTGTCAACCCTTGAATCAGTATAACGCTCACGCCGCGTGCGAGGTGGGAGCTTACGGCATCCTGGGGCACGCGACTCTCCTGGTGGAACGGCAGACGAACGACGTGAACTTTATCATCCACAACATGCCGGTGATCGCGAGGATGAGCGCGACCGCGAAGATCACGGGGAACACGTTGCCGCTGCTGCAGGGCGAAGTGCCGGAGGTGTCGGGCGGGTTGCTGGTCGTGTTGCCGCGCGAACAAGCTGCCGCCTATTGCAAAGCTCTGGAGAAGATCGAGCATAGGCAAGCGTGGATCGTCGGGATCGTCGAGAGCGGCGGCCGCACGGCGCGAGTGATCGAGAGACCACGAGTGATCGAGGTGCCCGCCAAGGATAACGGTATTTCCCTCTGGTAAACGCACGAAGGACCGCAGGACATCGCTCGTTAAAATCTGGGGAAAAAAATCTGGCAGAAATGCCGTTCGCGCTTGCTGCTGCGGTTGGATCATCTTAACGGCGCTTCGTCCAACGGACGGGGAGCGAATTGTGTCCCGGAGCCACGCGATATTAATGCAGCGCGCGATGATGGTTCTCGAACTGACGATATGGGCGATCTCGACTCGAAAGTCTTTTTCCTCGAGAAAAATTCATTTTTCAAATCGATCCTTTGCCGCACGACTTTTCTATCGTATCGCTTCTTCTCGGTAGAGAATCGAGTTCCGATCTGGTGATATTCTGTTGATATATACTTCTTCATCAGTGCTGAGTTTGATGAGGAATTCAAACGCGATCAACACCGTTCGAGAGAACCGATTTGAAACATTGATTTTTTTCGAGAGAAAGGCCGATTTCCTGAAGATCGAATCGAGATCGCACTCATCGCTACTTCAAGTGCGTGCGTCCCAGCTGGAAGAAGGCCGACTCTTTCTCTCGCGGAATTTCAATGTAATTGTGACACGGCGACTGGACCGACGTCGATCGAATTTTCGTCGACGAACACGCGAACTCTCTTGTCGTGAAAGAGGAGAGATCCTTCGTCGGTCTAACTCGACGAAATAGCGAGCGTATCGCGCGTCTACTGGGAGAGCATCCACGCGGGAGAAACGCGAACGTTCGCATCAACGACGTTTGTGTCGCGCACCTAATAGCGAGGTACAGTTAACAAAAGTCCCATTAACATCTGCTTATGTATACTGCATCCTTCCGGTTCCCCTGGTCATGGGAAATCTGTGAACTCGTCGCTCGCGTGTTTACGCACGTCTATCTTTTTATCGCTTCCCACAATTACTTTTCTCGCGTGGCATCTTGCACGCGAGTTCCTTGACGCCTTTTGTCCTTGATACCGTCGTATCTCAACAATGTGTGGTCTCGCCGATAGAGCCGAGAAAGTTCGGGTTCAGCCTACGGTTGTCGGCGTAGGTTTTATCCCTATCAGATTCTGCTTTTTCCTCTGTTTTTTTTCTTTTTTTTTCTGAAACCACGTTTGTCTAATTTTAGCCGTCGATCAATCGATGTGCGGCTGAGATCGGCGATGACCGGCGTGTTAATAAAAACATCTTCATTCGCGTACACCGCGAGGTCTTTTTCGCTTGGAAATATCAATTTTGATATTTTGACAAGAAGTTTCTTTCTCGCGAGGAGTCCTGGCGCAAAAGTCACCGTCTCTTGCAAATTAAAGTTTGCGGAGATTCAGGCTATTGTTAGGCTTTCTCTCTAAGCTCTTTGTGTACATTGGACATTGCAAGCAAGAGAGAAACGGGAGCAATTATAGAACGATGATCTTTTTTCTCTCATTAGTCGATTTAGAAAAGAAAAAACAAACGCTTCCTCGATTACGCGAAGATAATCGAGTTAAACTGGCCTGTCGCGAAAAGTCCTCATCTTCCCGCGGATAAGAAACAGAGGGGGAGAACAGAGAGAGAGAGAGAGAGAGAAAGAGAGAAAACACAGGAGGAGGGCAACCGTCGCACTTGGAAAGTCGTTTGACGATGGCATTAACGAGCGCGGAAACGTGTTTACGACATTTTTTCTCGCGGCCGGCGAGCAGCGGAGGAGGAGACGTTTCGCCGGCGCGGCGGCCACGACGAAAGGTCAAGTCAGGAACGACCGCTCGGTGACCCTCGAGCGATCAGGGTCACAATTCAGAGCGCACCGCGGCGAAGTGTGACACTGCGCGTGCGAAGTATTTGACACGCTCGAGAGATCGATCGGATCTGCTCCGCGACTTCCAAGGAAAGCCGCGGCGACCGTGAAAATGTGATTTTCATGCCGCATTATTCCGCCGGCGCGATGGAGGAGGCAACCGAGGAGGAGCGCGTTTCCACGCGCTACTTCCACCGACGCTCCGAGCCGCCGCCGCTATCCGGCAGGATGCAATTTCGCGAAATTCCCTAGCACGTAGCGCGTAATAAGCACACGCCGTCGATTTCGATCGGCGTGTTACGCGGCGCGTGCTAACATGTAGTAACGCAATACCGTTGCCGTTATATAGTATGCGTAACGCCGTTAACCTTTAGAGAACCGGCATTTTGCCTTAAAAAATTGCAATTTTTTTCACGGAAAATTTATATATATATATTATATATATGTGTGTGTGTGTGTGTGTGTGTGTGTAACCATCATATCGCGTGGAGTTTTCGAGTTTGTTGGTGGCTTCTATAGGAGCCACCCCGCGCTCCTCTAAAGCTTAACATTGGCATCTAACTGGACCGCGAGCGGTCGACACGCTGCTGGCAGCTTCGGAATTTCTCGTAAAAATATCGCTCGAATTCGTACGGCGATCTTACGCCTTCGTGTACGACGTTGAGTATCACTAAGCAACACGTTCGCCCTTGCATGATGTGCTGTTTCCAGAACCTGTCGTTTCGACCGCTCGATCGTGGAAGTGGGTCGGGCTAATTGTCGCTACTTTTCATGTTGATACGCTTCCTTCCCTTCGAACATACCGCACTCGATGTTATCCGAAACGCTCGGCAGACCCGCCGGAGACTGGCTGGCCTGCTGATCGATTTCATGCTTCTCGACGGTAATTGAGCATACGGCTATTTATTTTCTTTTATTTATACAACCACAACGACATTTCGCGGCCGTTGTCGACTCGTCGGATGTGTGCATCTGCTTATTTCTGGAAAGGTCAGAGGACATCGAGTCTTGCACCGCTTTCTAAACGCAGCTTCCCTTTAATGCTACACTGGTCGCGGCGGCTCTCCGCTCGTTGCATCACCCGGCTTTAATAAGCCGCATTCGACGTAATGGACTAGAGACAAATGGCATCGCGCATCAGCGTGATGTTGACTCCATTTCTCCGGCGCGGCGGCTTGAAGCGAACCATCACCGAACATGTTTCTCTTTTCAATCCAATCGGTCTTCCTCCGGCCCACCTTTCGCTTCATTCGCGACAGTGCGCGGGGTATCGCTTCTCTCTAAGAAGAGAAATTCGAAATATTTTCTCTGATTCTGCAATTGCATATTTTCCTCGCGTTCTTAGACTTTCTCTATAAATTAATCAAAATTTTATATATCGCCTTATTTCATCGGAGAGGAACGTGGCGATTGAATTGCAAAAAGAAGCCACTTCGCGCTTCCACGCGATGCGTTTGTACATATTTTTTTTTTAATAGAACGCGAGGAGGCGAGACAGACTGAAAGAAAGGTCGGTCGTTAAGAATAATCGGGGGCTTGTCGTTAATTAAGCTGGAAACAAACCACCGCCAAGGCCGAGGGCTGCCGCGCCGGGTCGCCGAGACAGGGGAGTGCGCGCGTGCGCGTGCGCGTCTTCGTAGTTGGCGGGGTTGCGCGCGTGATCCGAGCCCATCGCCGTTCCGCTTGTCTATGGCCGCCGGTCCTGTTCCACCGTGTTCCGTCCGTCGCCGCCGCCGACACGGACGGTTTAAGATGGCGCATTGATCCTATATCGCGTGACGTTCGTCTCTCGCCGCGCTGCAATCTCGTGCTAGCGCTCGCGAAAGTCGCTCGCTGCGGCTCGGCCGATCGGTGAACGGATATATCGCGAATCGGTCCGAGCGAATAACGACGAGCTCTCGCTGAGCCTCGCCGGAGGGTGTCGTCGGGCGAGGATCCGGGGGTCTGCATCGGGACGATGCGTCCCGACGTCGCGGAGACACGCGCGCCAGTGCCACGGTGAATAGTCCAAGCGTGACGTCAGGCTCGCCGCTGCCGGCTTCGCCTTCCCCTCGGCTCGCCTCTGCGGCGGAATAACGCGTTGAATGGTAAATATTACGGTGACAATATCACACGCTGGCCGCGTCACGGGGCCGCCGGTGCGAAGAAGCCGTCGCGCGACCGGAGCCGCCGTCTCCCCGCCGTGGTTGATCGCGCGTCGCCTGGTCTTTCTATCTCCCCCTCTGGGGAATTCTTGCAGTACCGTCTCTCAGATAAACGGTGAACGTTAATCGTGAATGCTATTAGTCGCGCATGTACGGCGACGTTATTTCTCAGCGAATGACGTTGACGACGTTTACATTTACGTATCTGAGAAACGGCGATGCAAAAACTCTCCCTTCGTCTCGCTCTTTCCTCCGTTGTCCGTGTTCGTCTTCCTCTCGGCTTAGCTGACACCACGACCCCTCGTGATTGCCGCGACCCGCGTCGTTCGGGGCTCTAACGTTGCATCGTTTTCGGCTGACCCGTCGGTGTCACCTTTCGAGAGAGAGCCTCTTGCTGTCTTTCCGCGCAAAAGTAGCTTGTGCGGAAAAAGTTGCAATTTTATGTGCGGAATGTGTCAGCGTACTTTCGCCGATAAGCGATATGCGGGTTCTCGTGCTTTCTATACGCGTTGCTAGAGCAAACGCGTTACCTTTGCGTGTTTGAGAAATATAATCGGTTTCTTTTTTTTATTTTCTTTTTTTTTTTTCATGTGCATCGCTCGTGCGATACTGTCGGCTGCGACAGTCGCAAACATTGTGAGCAGCAGCAGCGGACGCGAATATACACAATATGTAACTTCTCGTAATCGCGGCAGTTGCGAATGGCATGGCGTTATCTGGAAACGGTAACCTTCGTGACGCGTTTGCGTAACGCTGATAAAAAGGCTTCGAGTTAACGTCTCATGATTCCGCCAGGCTTGCGTTTCATATTTCACGTACAGTAATATGACTCAAGGTCGCTAACCTGTAACCTGTAACCTCCAAAGTTCAACGCATCGCTGTTTTATATCGGGCGTCTTTAATTTAGCTCATTAGGTCGCATCTCCGAGTTCATTAGACGGTAACACGAATTGTCAATAAAATTTACGTCCTCATTATCGAATTTAATTTCAAATCGCGTGCAGCTTTGCAGGCGTGGAACACGATTGATCGAAATATCCAATATTTATGTAACAGCTTCCGCAATCTTCTGAAATAAATCTCTGAACGGGCTGTGTAAGGAAGAAACGATACGCTGCTATTCCTGGAGGGATCGAAATAAGGTCCACTCTTGAGAGACGCTCGTACATGTCGCCGGGAAAACGAACCGACGCGAAAGCGCGCATTTGAGTCATTTGAGCATTGCAAACTGCACAAGCGGGACGTGAAACAGTAAGCGGTGTCGATAACAAAAGTAGGTTTCGCAATCGCGCTATCTTGCAATAAATAATTTGCATTCTCGTGTCGCACAGGAGTGCGGGAAACTCGGAATGATACCGATTACACCGCGAGCGTCGAGAGAACTCCGCGACACACCGGATCTCTCTTCTCGCTCTTCCTCGGCCCTCGAGTTGTTCGCAGCTACGTAGATTTAATTACGCGACACTCGGCTGACCCACGTACCGTAACGATTAGCGCAAAATGCATGGAAAGGCAAATTAACGACTTTATAAATATATATAGGACGTGTCCGTCGAGGACATACAAATTTAGATTCTCCGGCTCGGTCGTTACCCACGCGTTTACGTCGTCCGTTGAATATGACAGTGCCGCGAATTAAAAAATAATGCACCCTCTCTTTTTATTCGCCGTTATATAACCGTCGCGTTATGTGCGAGACTTTTAGACCGAGCGCGAGGTTTATGGATTCGCGCGACTATTTGCGCAGATTCTTATGCAAGCGCCGAAGTGGCCGAAGAAAATCAATAATTACACCTGCTCATCCTTACGTCGGGAGGCGTGTTGTGCGAGCGTAGCGCAGTCACGGCTATTCTTGACACGAGTCCTTTGCGAGATATCAATTCCGAGTTTCTGTCGTTTCTGTCAGAGACTCCGAATACAATGCTGGCGAACGATCGGTCCTCGCGGATCGGAGCCGACCAAGTTGCCGCGCAAATGCCGAGCGTTTTCGAGCGATACCGACAACAGATTGAAATTATTACGCAACGACGATACGAAAGGGAAAGTCCGCGCGCAGGAAGCGATAACAAAAGGCTCTCTTATCGATCGTCGTTAACAATTACGAGGGCGAGGTTAGGGGCGACAGAGACGTTAATTCGAATTCCATCGCGCGGAACACGCGTCGATGATCGCGAAATTACTTCATTGTAGCATTCCCCCCGCTGCTAATCGAGCATAGATTCCGCATACATTCACTTCCCGCCGCAAGTGCGCGCGCGCTTTTCAGTCAATAACAGCCGTCGTTTGTTAACGGACAACGAGAGACGCTTATTACTCGCGTATAACAAAGAAGGAATCATCTCCTCTCCCTTCAGTTTCTTTACACCCAAAAAAAAAGTGATTTCAGAACAAGCGGAATCGTCTGAATTTTAGAGGATTTTATTCTTATATATGGCCTCGAGAGGGGATTCCTCTAAGATTAAGAGGAAAATATTATAAACACATTATTCTTAAAATTAGAGGGATTATATGTTGCATGTATAATGCAAATCTTATTGATTTTAATATAAATTTCCTCTTATACACAAATTATTTAATCTTTTTTCAAGAGGATTATTATTTATTCTTACTGTACTCTTACTTTATTCTGGTTATACTGGTTAATTTGAAAAAATTATTATAATATATAGCGAAAAGTAAAATATATACAGGGTGCTAAATTTCAAACGTAACAGGTAAAAAATCTCGAAAACTATGAAAGATATTGAAAAAAGCTGAAACACATGTTCCATGATTTCGAAGAGGAAAGAGAATGGCATTATCAGTTTTTTATTTGGAGGACATTTTCAAGGTTCAAAGTTAGTTGAAGGTCAACTTAATTTTTTTAAATAGAAAGTAATTTTTTAAAATAGAAACCAATTTTTTATTATATCTTCTTTTTCTACCAATTAATTTTAACAACTTTTGTCTGAAACATTTTTTTATTTGTCTAACATTTTTTGAAATATTTAAGGAAAACTTTGTAACTTCTTCAACATTTAACTTACGATATCTCGCTAACTATTCGTCGAAAGAAACAATAGTATTAGACTTTTCTACTCTATTTATTATCAAGAATACATTACAGTAATAGTGTCCTAACTTTTGTTAACTTATCGACTTTTGGAAATTTCAAAATTATTAAATCAACAACAGTTAGGGCACTATTATAGTAATATATTCTTGATAATAAGTAAAGTAAAAAAGTCTAATATTATTTTTTCTTTCCTTAAATACT